ATCCTCTCAGAGGCATAAATTCCAAAGAACCAATATCAGCCCAATTGGAAGAACAATCTTATCCATTAAAAGAACCGATTTTACAAGCTCCGTCAAATTTAATTCCAGTAGCTTTATCAATTTCTAATATGAAGAAAACCAATTTACCTGCGTTGATGTCTAGGATTGAGAAGAAGAAACGGACATTGGGAATTACCACTAATACAGAACCATATGATATTCTAAAAGATTTGGGTACCATACAACCCACGATCTCTATGAAGCAACTATTGGTAGTATCACTTGAGTGCCGAACTATCTTGAATTCCTCATTAATTCATCGCAGATCTCGAAATAAAGAAATCCAAGAAGTAAGTTTGAATCTCAATCCGGATGCACCAATCATTGATATCTCAATTGATGGAGTATTATTATTGAGAATGTAAGTAGATGGAGGATCTAGTATAAATCTTATGAATGCCGCTACAATAGAGGAGTTGGGTTTGGATCACTTAGTGCCTACTACAGTAGTTTTGAGAATGGCTGACTCCAGTTGAGTTAAACCTATGGATAATTTACAAAGTATTGACACAGTAATTGGGGGAATTATCTATAAAATTGATTATATTATTTTTCAATTGCAAAGCTCTATATTGTCAAATCCAATTTTATTGAGGCGACCATGGTCATATCAAGCTAAAGTTCGAAATGACTGCGGCAGTGGTACATTGACAATTGGAAAAAGTAATGATAAAATTGTGCTTCAAATATACTCTGTCCAATATCATGGAGAAACTCAATTTGCCAATTTAGAATTCATATTGGATTGTGAAGATGAATCTATAGAATAAGAAATTGGTGCATTTGATCCAATTTATGCTGATACAAGGCAAGTTGTCGAGCACACTAGAATGAACTACTAGTGTAGCAGATCGGGAGAGTACTTAGTTCCTCTAGATGTTATTGATGATTCTAGTCATATGATTGCATATTGGATGAATAGACAGGATATTAATCACGTTAGTGCTATGGAACTAGAATTGAAAAGTTTTAATTTGTTGGATTTTATGAAAGATTTTGGAATTGAGCAAAACATTATTTCAGAGACTCCTGAAATTCTACGATGTCAACGAATTAATTTAGGTACAGGAGAAGCTCCCCAAATTATTCAGATTTATGATGGTATAAAAGGCAAGGAAAAAGAAATTTGGGTGGATTATTGTTTAATACATAAAACTACTTTCGCATGATCGTATGCGGATTTGAAAGGAATTCTAGCTAAAGTTTGTGAGCATCGAATTATATTGGAGGAGAGTGCTACACCAGTACGTTAAAGACAACATCGACTTAATCTAAAATACTCACTTATTGTAAAAGAAGAACTAGATAAACTCTTGGAGGTTGGATTTATCTATCTAGTTCCTTTCAATGAATGGGTTTCACTAATTGTTATGGTACCGAAAAAAAATAGAAAAGTTCGTATCTGCCAAGATTTTTGCAAATTAAATGCAGCTACCAAGAAGGATTATTTTCCTTTACCATTCACGGATAGTATATTGGATGTTGTCGCTGGACATGAATATTATTCATTTCTTGATGGATTCTCCAATTATAATCAAGTTAAAATTACAAAAGAAGACCAGTTAAAAACTACTTTTACTATGGATTGGGAGACCTTTGCATATAAGGTTATGCCATTTGGACTTTATAATGCAGCAGCTACATTTCAAAGGATAATGATGCAAGCGTTCTAAGATTATCTATGAATTTCAATGAAAATATTTTTAGATGATTTTTATACATTTAGTACGAGAGCCAGGCATTTAGATTGTCTAGGTCAATGTTTGAATCAATGTGCCAAATATGGAATTTCTTTAAATTCAAAAAAGTACCAATTTATTGTACCTTTTGGTAAACTGTTGGATTATATAGTTTTGATGGCAGGCATTGCTACAGATCTGGATAAAATAAAGATTATAGTAGAATTAAAGCAACCAAACACTATTATGGATGTTCGAGTATTTGTCAGCCATGTCAATTATTATCGGCAATTTATCTATCTATTTGCAGTTATATGCCTTCTCTTAACAAATCTCTTGAAGAAACCACCAACCGATGGGATCAATCTAGTTTGGACAAAGGAATGTACAATTGCATTTGAAACATTGAAACAGAAATTGATTTCAGCACCAATATTGGTGGCACCTTGTTGGACAAAACCATTCCAAGTTCATGTGGATGCATCTAATGTCCCGATTGATTCTATACTAAGCCAGAAAGATGACTGGGATTTTGATCACCCTATTTATTATGCAAGTCATCAATTTGTAGGAGTTGAAAGAAATTATACAACAACCGAAAGAGAAGTATTGGGGATGATTTATTCCATACAAAAGTTTCGACATTATCTTCTTGGTTATGAATTTGTTTTCCATATCGACCATGATGCTTTAAAATATATAATTAATAAGCCTTAATTGAGTGGTCATATTGCACAATAGATTTTACTCTTGCAAGAATTTGACTTTACTATTCAAGTAAGACCAAAAAAATCACATTCCAATGCAGACCATTTATCTTGGTTATCCAATATATTGGGTAATGAACCCATTAATGATGCACTACCCAATGCAAAACTGTTTGCGGTAGATGTAATTACTTTGGAATATAGTGAAATAATTCAATACTTAACATTTCAAACCTTCCCATCCAATTTTAATGAAAAGCTTAAACGATGCTTAATATTAAAATATCCACCTTATATGATGATTGGTGAAGCTTTATATAAACAAGGCAAGGATGGAATTTTGCAACACTGTATTTATCAGACTGAAGTGAGTACTATATTGGAAGGTTGCCACTTAGACAATTGTGGTGGACATTTTATTGGGGACAGCACAGCTCGTAAAGCTTTACAAGCTGGTTATTGGTAGCCAACAATGTTTGCAGATGCCTACCAATTCGTCCGTCATTGTAACCCATGTTAGAGAAAGAATCAACCTATTGGAACTTCAACAATGCCATTGGTACCAATTCTGGCTCAAGTACCTTTTGAAAAATGGGAAATTGATTTTGTGGGACCAATTGCACCAGCCTTGAGAAATAGACAAAAATGGTATATACTCATAGCAATGGATTACGTAACAAAATAGATTGAAACTGTAGCTACGAAAACCGATAGTGCAAGTACAGTAGCAACCTTTTTGTATGGGAATATTATTACACAGTTTGGTTGTCCACAAGAATTAGTTAGTAATCGAAGAACTCATTTCATAAATAATACAATCGAAGCACTTATGGCTGAATATGAGATAAAACATCGTAAGACTACATCGTATCACTCTAGAGCCAATAGACAAATAGAAAAGACTAATGGAATTTTATGTAAAATCTTAATAAAAACAGTTTCAAGAACGAAAACAGATTGGGATACTAAGTTGTTCGCAACTTTATGGGCATACGGTACTACGTATAAAGTTAATACCAATGCTACCCCTTTTCAATTGGTTTATGGCCAAGAAGTAATATTACCTATTGAATTGGAAGTCCAAAGTTTAGGAATTGCTATAGATAATAGATTGGGAGATCATGATTCATTACGGCACTATTTAGAAGAATTAAAAAAATTAGATGAAACTAGAGCCAATACATTAATGATAATGGAAACTACACAAAAATGAAGGAAGAATTATTATGATAGTAAGCTTAGACCAAAGGCTTTTATGCCAAATGTTTTGATACTTCTTTATGATAGTCGATTTAAAATTTTTTCAAGAAAATTTCAAGTTCGATGGCATGGGCCATATTGAATTATTGATAAATTTCCAAATGGTTCAGTACAATTGGAAGATTTTATGGGTACTAAATTTACAACACAGATCAATGGCAATCGGCTTAAACTTTACTATATATAAATTTGGGACAGGTTTTCTGTTACAAAAGAAAGGAGAGTCAACCCAATTGATTGGATCATAGTAAGAAGTAGGAGGGGGGCTCTTGACAAGCATCGTATTTTCTTTTGTGGTTAAGGAGAAGTGGATGGTAGAAAAGGAGAAGTGGATGGCAGAAAAGGAGAAGATGGCGAACATAGTGTCTGAGAAAACAAGGATGGAGACTAATTGGAAGGAACGGCAAGAGCGACTGCAAGTAGAGGTTGTGATGTTACAGACTAAACTAGCCACATTAGTGAAGGAGGCCAATAATGTAGTGCAGATCAATATGCCAGTTTCAGCGACAATACCTTCGAAGATACCTTTGAAACCGACAAAAGAATGGCAGAAGATGTTGGAGGAGCTCGACAACCAAATTACCGTCTTGAGTCTCAAGTACCGGAATTAGGTTTGTTGAATGTAGATTTGACAGTGAGTTTGGATGGAGAACCATCGAACATCAAGGCAGACAACAAAGATGTAGCAGAGGAGAAGGTTACCAATTAAAAGGGTGGTAAGCCAACGCCATTGACTGAAGAAGCCAACGCCATTGACTGAAGAAGCCAATGCCGTTACATCTTTATAAGTTGAGGCTAAATAATGTTTGCGAGGATACTATACAGATAAGAGTGGGGCTATGTAAAATATGTAAATAAATTTTGTGATAAGTTACTGGTTGGTTATTGACAACCTTGAAAATTAGACATATGGTTAGGCAGTTTAGTTGCTAATAGTAGGTTGTTAGTAGAACAAATGGACCGTAAGGAGAGGACCATGTGTTGTAAGGAGAACCTCTCCTCTTCAAATAGGAAAAGGACCTGAAAAGAAGAGAAGTAAGGAGAACCTCCCCTCTTCAAATAGGAAAAGGAATGGGATAGGAGCCACAAACTTTAAACTCCTTCTAAGGACTTGACAAAATTGATCATTACTGGAACGAACTTGTGTCTCTTTCGGCTGTTTTGGCCTCACTTTAGTGACATCTGAAGGAATCTTGCCCTTTTCGAGTATTGACACAGCACTTGTACAAATTTTTGTTATACAACTATTTAAAATGTAAGAGGATTCCTTTTTGCACAAGGTTCACTGTGTGGGTTCGAGTTGATTTGCTACTAGTTGATGGACGAATTTATTTTCAAGGATATGTCCTTGTGTTGCGGTGATCTTGGTTTGGGTTCGATCAAGGACAGGACCGTGTGATATCGGGTGCATGTGGTTGTTGAAATCTGTAACTTTTGCGTTTGCGAGCGTAAGGGTGTTCCACGCCGGAATAAACAGAACTGAAAGATTCTGTATTCAGTTGTTTATTTCTTTGATTGGGAACTGAAGTTTCGCAGGTTGGGATGCGAAGTTGGGACATTCTTGATAGTTGGTCCTAGCGACACTACGTTAGGTCTTTTCGGCAGAGTGGACTACCACTTCGTTCCACAAATTTTGGTTAGCAACGCTACTATATACACACACACACACTGCTATGGTTGCGGTTCATGATGCTATAATCATCTAAATTGATCTTCGTGCGGAGAACTCAATTGAAGCGATGAATTATGGTGAGAGTTTCGTGTCAGCATCGTTTTTTCGACGGTCTTATTGGTGCGTTGGAAACTCAAGGAGTGGCAGCAAAACGCTCAGGGTTGTTGCTTATTCATCATTAAACCTTCAGTAGCACGGCAGTGTTGCAGATATTGATTCCTCTTATCACACTACAATCTTGGCGATCATTTGGGGACAGAATAACATTAAAGATCTTGAGTGTTCCCTTCGAATGTGCCGCCTGTAGTTCCTTCACAGACATTGTGCAACTTAATACCTCTTGGTCGAAGCGAAACGTTGAGTATGTTAAGTCTTTGTTGATTTGTAATGCAGCCGCCTGGAATCTGCACGTAGTATAGAGCTGAGATGAATGGCGCATGATAGTTTTTCTTCTGAATTGTTCGCTTTAGATCACCATACTCACTATGCGATTGGCTGCTGTTCCTAAATGAGAGGTCGGGGAAGAATTGTTATCTGACACAATTAGTTTGTGATGACATACTTTTCCAATTATTCACGCGTGGTCGTTTGCTGATTGAGCGACACGATTTTTGCACACAGGAATTGACAACAGGTGAACTACGCTAGTGGTGAAGTGATCCGATTGTGGAGAGCGACTAGCAAATAACTGTCGGTGCTCGAGTCTCATGCAATTATTTGTATCTTCTACAAAGTTTTCGGCAATGGGAGCGGGATTTGACAGTACGATTGACATCTACCTTCGAGTGCGGCCCATTTCCAGTGGAGCGAAAGCCGTGCTTGAGTTGAACCAGGAAGAAGGCAGGGTGACATGGACAATCCCCAGGCACGTTTCTCTGGGGCTTGCGAACCATCAGCGCGAGCATTTTACTTTCAAGTTCACTGGCCTTTTTGACATGGAGAGCAAACAGGATGAGGTGTTCCAGAAGGTTGCTCACAAGGTAGTAACCCCGACAGCACGTTGTCGAATTTGCTCCTAGTTACATGCAGTTTCGTCTCTCAAAGGAGGTGTTCCTCTTTGAATCAACAGAACTGGAATTTTTGATGTCTTGTTATTGCTCTTCCCGGCGTAACAGGAGTCCTTGATAATTTTGGCACCTTGAGAACAAATTGTATCTTTGTCTCTTCCCTCATATGACTTTTCCTGTTTAGCACAACTACATAATCTTCTTAGGAAGTCAGGTACTGATTCTATCACCTTGTTACGTCGTATGCGATTAATAAATTGTTCTATCGAATGCATTGCTTCTTACATGGAAGCCTTTGGCTGATCGGGTTGGCAGCATTCCAGAACGCTGTTTGCTAACATCGGGGGAAGTTGGATGGAGGGCAATGTAGGTGGTGATAGGGTCCTTGGATGGATACAATGGCACTATATTTGCATATGGGCAGACAGGTTCGGGCAAGACCTACACCATCACAGGAGGAAGTGAACGCTATGTCGACCGTGGAATTATTCCACGAACGATCTCCCTTATCTTCAGTGAGATCGCAGAACGGAGCGAGTACGCTTACACATTGCATTTTTCTTACATGGAGGTTTACAATGAAACGGGTTATGACTTGCTTAACCCTGACCATGAGACCAAAGCTCTTGAGGACTTGCCTAAGGTAAAACACTTGGTGTTTTCGCAGTCTGATTCTTCGCAGATTCGATATATGCTAAGTCTTTTTTATTTGAACTCGAAATTAATTGCTTTCTTCGATCTTGGGTAGAGTGTCCATCCAGATTCTCCACAGCATAGCGTAACTAACACCATTCTGTGCGGTTGATGGGCGTGCACTGGGACAGGTGACGTTGTTGGAAGATGATGACAATGTGTTTCATTTCCGAAATCTTTCGCACCACCTTGCCACGTATGTAGGTGCTTGTTCTTAATCCTTGCTGCTCGACTACATCTCGGTGTCAGAAATAGTCTTTTTACATTTGGATATAATCCATCTTATCTTTGTTCAATCAGGATTTTATTTTAGCTAACGAGCCGATAATTGCAAATTATCAATTTGCGAATGCCTTTAGAGTAGCCACAAACCCAGATGTGCACTTCTTACAAAATCCTGCGGGGCTAGGGAGAAATCGTATGTTTACTTACTCATTTTACATTCCACAGATGGCTGTAGAATGTATAGAGCATTTACCTTGTTATAGACACAACTGAGTAACATCTTATGTGGAGATCTTGGATTCAGAGTTGAACCCAATGCACATTCGAAAGAGCCTACAAACTAGAGTCCTCAGATTTGTATGTTTCATTTTGCTCAAATTGACCTTGTTACTATTCGTGTGCGAGGTTGGAACAGTAATGAGGAAGAAGCCTTGAATCTTGTCTTTGTTGGCGACACCAACAGAATTATCAGCTCCACTCCTATGAACATGGCCAGTTCACGGTCCCATTGCATATTCACAGCGCACATTCTTGCATGCAAGGTGGGGGAGGAAACAGTGCGTAAATCAAAGCTTCATCTCGTGGATCTTGCTGGTTCCGAGCGAGTGTGGAAGACTGGAGTTGATGGCCAGGTGCTTCCTTCGTATTTGAAGCTTCTGACGCGAATGACAATGCTTCAAACCATATCTTTAGCACAGAAAATGTCGAATCTTTAGATTCTTGATTAGCTGGTGGGTGCTGCAGATTCTGAGGGAGGCGAAGTACATCAATTTGTCGCTGCACTATTTGGAACAGGCAAATTCTCGCACTCTTTCATACTCTTTTATAAGTGATCAAGAGGTAGCTGCGGTTGAGCTGAACGGAGTCTTCAGCTGGATAACGATTTCGTCCATTTTGTACAGGTAATTGTAGCTTTGCAGGAAAAGTTTCAAGGAAAGATGCGTACTCACATTCCTTATCGCAACTCGATGATGACTTCTGTTCTGCGAGATTCAATTGGAGGCAACTGCCTGACGGTAAACTCAACCGTTAGGAGCGAATACGAGACAATTGAATGTTGTTGGGTGCAAAATTTGTGATGACTACATGTGTATGTACCACATAACAGTTGTGCGTAGTCCGTTCCTAGTTTAGCCAGGACAATTACAATATTCTCTACCAACATAGATGATATACGAACATCCAAATCTATGAAGTTGTTTTAATTATTTACAAAAAATTTGCAGGTGATGATAGCAACGGTAACCATTGCACAAGATCAGTTGCCAGAGACTATCTCCACATGCCGCTTTGCTCAGCGCGTGGCGATGATATCAAATCAGGTGCGAAGATTTTTGGTTGCTTTAGAATGCGTCTCTGCACAACGTCCTCCTTCTACGCCACGTTCACGAGAAACTAACAGGCTTAGTAGGAGAAATAGAAAGCATCATGCAGTTAGATGTCCAGGAAAAGTTCTTCAATAGCTGATCAAGCTGCTAAAAGTCCTGTTAATCTTATGAACTGCATGGTTTAAACAGGTGACGCTCAACGAGGAAGTCGATCCCAACTTACTAATAAAGCGGCTCAAACAACAAATCGGAGACTTGAAGGTACGGGTTATTTATATGTCTTCTTGTACCCATTTTCGTGGAAAGTCCACAGTGAGCTGGGTTTAAGTGGTATTGACGTTGACTTTTCTTATGTTTCAACAATTCCGGGCATTTGTCAAAGGTATTATTCCCTCCAGCTTCTTGCTGAATTTTATGTTTGGAAAACGTGATATCATTGGAGTATATATTCATGTTCGTCATCCACCGATCTTTCAAGTAATTGCAGGGAGAAATAGCTCTGTTGCGTGGAGAAAACGAAAATCGGCCTCCCCTTTCTGCAAGTGAAATTGAAAATGTTCGCAGTCGAGTGATTGGCTTTCTTAGCGACAAGGGTGTAGATACGGATCTTCATTGTGGAGGTGTGTTATACTTCGTGTTTGTTGCACCATATTGGGTCTCAAATTAAAGTTTGAATCACATCCTGCAACGCTCAACAAAATCGATGTGAACATCAGGTTTAATGACCTTGTGCTTGTGCTCGCAACCATTAGAAACTCCAAGTGATAAAGCACATTTGCGATTCCTTTTTTAAGAGATAGCACTGCGAAGGTTCGGGAACATGTTCCATCTTCATCAAGTCGAGTATAAAGTTTTTCACAAGGATATCTTACACGACGAAGATGTCGTTTCTACTGCTCGATTTTACGTGATGGGTTTTAGATTGTCATCTTAATGTCCTTTACGCTGAGTTAATTTGTATTCCTGTGATGCAGGAAGTATGATGCATATACATGCTGCTTTTCAAATCCTCAAAGAAATGCTCAAGCACGGGGAAACGCAGACGATAAAAAGTGTTCAGGATGACAACGGGTCCCAGGTGTCCAGTGAATCCACTGTCGTGAAGACACTTCAAGTTAAAGTTTCTGACTTGCAATACCAGGTCTTTTCAGAACCGTGGAATGTAGAGCCTCAAAGTATTGTTTTATCTGATTATGGAGTTTTCTGTTTTTTCTGAATTATTTCTAACTACACGAGTACAGTAGTTTCTACCCAAAAATATCGAATTCTTCGAAGCCTACGTAATACCCGCCCAAGTTTATCATCTCTACAACTGAACCAGGAAGTGTTCTATTTACCTTATACTCACTGGCAATCCTATCCAATAAGAGAGCTTGTTCTGTTACTTACCTGCCAATGTGATGCCAAGCTGATCTGGTACAAGTATTAGTACAATTCGTTCCCTATTGCTTCAATTGATGCAGCTTGATCAATCTTCCATTTCATGTATGTCCATAAATTGTGATATTGTGTTGTTCAATACGTAATAGTCAAGTATTACTCCTTTTCCTCACATATGTATCATGTATCCAGTTGTTTACGTTCTCACAACCGAGCTGAGAGTAGTGATTACCCTAGATCGAAAAATGACACAAGGTGTTACATCTATCACTCTCCTGCAAACAGACTAGATGACAAATAACATGTTGAATTGGTACGTGTGCAGTTGCAACAACGAGACAATGAGATTCAGATACTGGTTGCATTCATTCGCAAACGAGAGGCAGCTGCAAGAAATACAGTACGGTCTGCATCAGTTCAGTCTTTGACAGACCGACCACCATCAACTTCCTGTCGAGGCTCCCGCACTGAAGAGAAGGGCGGGGAAATGAAACGCTCTCAGCTACTTGCTGAAAAAAATGTTACACCACGGCCCTCAAAATCAGCAGACTTCCATCAGCCTAAAAGCACGGAATTAGATGTGGATTTAGGAGTCGCAAAGCTGCCAGTAACTAGTGGTCGAGAGATGGACAAGGACAAAGCCTTTGAGCTGTACGTAGACCATTATTTCTATCACATTGACATAATGGAACCCTCTCTTACAGAAAACAGCTCGGTCTGGATAAAACCTTGTGATAATACCGAAGTATCGTGCCAGTACCACTCGCTTGTGGTTTTTATCTGACCCCAGAGACTTCAATAGTTACTTCTCTATTCCTGAGGCCTCAACCTGGTGCTTTTGAAAGCAGCATTGCGTGACACGCTTGTTGAAATATAAAAAAGGAGGTGTCCCGTTTGTGCATCTACTTGAACATTGTGCCAAATATTTAAGCTCGGCACTTTCGTGCTTGCAGACGATTAGCAATCCCGCTCTAGACCCGTCATTTCTTCCGGAGATCATCTCTAAAAGTTGATCATAGAGGTCGAGAAGTCTTATTATCGGTAATGCGCTTCGTCATTCCACAGACAGGAACTGAACTAGGGTTCTGGGTCGACACTAAATTAATCAGGATCGTGATTTGTGCTGTCTGGGTAAGGACCGTAACAAACTAGCAAATACTTGCACTTAACTATGGCCTCGGGATATACATGAGTTGAGGTTTTGTGGAACACTTGTTGGCAGGTTCTCAAAGGGTAACGACAAAATGGAGGCGATCGAAGAGAACAAGTCTTTGTTAATAGCGATGTGCGCGAATGCCAAAGCGCTTGGTGAGAAAGTGAATCGCGCCAGAGATGTGAGTATTTGTTGTTATATTCTCTTAAACTGCCATACTTGCAAGCTTCAAATTTTTGTTGCTTAGAAACCCAGTTGAAGGCAAATTACCTTTTGTGTCTGTCGAGTAACCGAAAGGCCCGTTATTTGAGGATATGGTACTTTCAAAGGCTAGAGTTTGAATATTAGTATTTGTCTTTACAGCGAAGTAACAACTTACGCTTTGAATCTGATGATACTGGAGATGTAACAGAGTATCAATGGTTTAAGAGCGAAGATAGAGAAGCATCGTGTGGAGCGTGCACGAGACTACCTTGTTTCTGGTGTCTCTAATGAAACTTTGTTGGAGAATGATGAAGAAGAAGATCAACTTCTCTGCTATATTGATGCTGAGAAGGCAAGTTTTTAAAACTATTAGTTAGTTCATTTTAGTGGTTCTAAGCTGTATGTGAATGCTGCATCTTTCACGTGTCTCAGCTTATTCAACATTCGACATCTTCAACATTTGATCGAGTTTCATTCTTTGTAAAGCTGTTGAAAATCGGAAACCGGGCTCGTAATGTGGCTGCAGCGGACGTACAAAGAAGGGTTTTCTGAGTTAAGAGACATAAAGAAAGAGATAGAGCATCTCCACAAACTACTTGAACACAATGGAGCCCAACTCCAGGTGTTTTTTTCATTTCCGCTTTCTAACAGCCAACCGGATAACAATCTCTTTTACAAGAAAGAATTTCCTTGTATGACGCTACCCAGCCTTAGAAAGCATGCTGCAGCAAGACCTCAACAAGTTCAAACAATCTGCAACTAAACTCCCTGTGTGGACTGCAACATATGGACTGAATTCCTTAAATTTAACATGACGCTTAGACCAGCATGCCCACAATCACGGCAATCAGCGATATTGTTCAGTACTTCAGAAGACTTCACGTGAATTATGACGTCGTAGTTGGTCTCTTACATAACGAAATGAATTTTTGCTGTAGGCCGATTTTGAGGTATATTGGAGTGCAATGACAGCAGCCCCTGCCTCGACAGAGACTTCAAGGAAAGCCCCGATCATTCCCAGACTTCAAATCAGTTCCGCGATCGGACCCCAGCATCAGGCTAACCAGAGCAGCAGTGCAGAATATAAACCCCTCTTTCCATTTTCAAGCAACAGCTTGAGTGCACGAGGGAGCCACTGTAGCCCATTGTCAGTCTCTGACCCTCGGTCAGGCTCTCGTGGGGGGAATGATCTGCGCGCCTTGGCTCTCGCTTCCTCAAAGGAGCACAGCAAATATGTCAAAAGCCCATCATCCTCAGGTCGTTCTACCTTGTTATCTTCACAGAGTAGTTTAGGACTGACAAAATCCTGCATTAACTGCGCAGCATTGCGAAGAGAAATCCATTTAGGAGCTGCAGGATTTTCTTTTTTCTACTTTCGAGTGAACAAAAGAGTCGTAAACTGTACAAAATTAAACTAATGGCTGTAAATTACGATGATCAGGTGCAGGACAAGTTCTAAATAACTTGGACAACCTGTTACAACCCATCCGCCGACAACAGTTGAAAGAATCAGTTAACACAGCAGGCCTTCAGAAAGTACCCCTCACTGGCAATGCAGCTGCAGATGCCGACATCATTGCGTTCTACAAAGCTCGTTCTGGGGTTCTCAAGAAAGTCTCCAGCTAGTTGTGCTTCTAACCCAGTTTGTGCAAGATACCTGATTGGTTTAGAAAGATTTGAACCAGCTTGTGGAATCGAAGCAAACAAGAGTGTGACTCATAAATTGGACATGATAGGTTGCAGTGACGAAACGAGGATTGGCAGTATTCTCTGTGTGGGCCCAAAAGCAAAGCTTTGGCTTTACAGCATTGTTGAGTCTGAGGCCCTCTAAGGTAAGGTTATTTAGAAGCCTCCAGAAGCCGCAGTTTCAAATGAAAGAGATAATACATGAGCAAGGTCTGGGGAGAACAGACTAGGTACAGAGCAACTCAAGTTGAATGAGGGAAAATAACCAAGACAGGACACAATGCAGTAGAATACCAGTCAATCATTTCATTCATTGAGAAACATCCGAAAACGCAGAATAATAACAGACCGAGGTTCTCAACCAGTTCCTATCGCAGTATCTGTGGCACAAGAGTTAACCAGCGGCAATTCATCACGAAGCGGCAACTGAAGGGATTGGAAGATTGCACTGACATTTAGAATGAATGGCATCAATGATGTGCCACGTAGGATCGGAATAATTGGTATGGAATCCAGTTCTGACGAGAGAAAGGTTCATTGGCGGAGAAGTTTGATTGGATGTTTGTGTTTTATTTGACGTTGCCTGGCTCAATAATAAGTTCAGGGCCCCCTTTTTGTTCCTCCACTGCCAATCAACCACATTGTATGTTGCTTCCAGCTGGCGTGGCTTCCCTTGCACTGAAGCATTTCCAGATTGTCAGCAGAGCATGCGTTCGTTCATTCCTTTCCTTTCTCAGCATTGCTGGAATTCAGTGAGCAATCAAGTGATGAAGCCAAGTTCCTGCATGATTAATAACTTATATGCACACACACATATATACATATACACACAGGGATCTACAGTGGAGTGGAGTGGGGTGGAGTGACGAGAGAGCAGGGGACTTTTCATCTTGCTTCCCTCCTCACCCTTGACCTGGTGCAGGAGAGGTCTTCACAGGAGAATACTTTGTACTGTTTTCCACCCATCAGTTAAGTTCTTTGATTTGCTTAACGCATGTGGGCAGCAAGCACATGTATATTTAAATACATATATTCATATTTATTGGAAATATTCGAGACTCCTACATTTGCACCGAAATGACGCTGTATAACTCATGGATCATAGGCTGTTGTATCTTTGGAAATCATGATCTCAGATTTGATTTTCTAGATCTGGACTTAATCTTCAGAATATGGATATGTAACCACACACAAGTAGAGGACAGACTTCCTTTTTATTTTTTATAATTAAATGAAAATGGGGAAACAAAATCTGACACCCAGTACAAAGTCTTGGAAGGACTGAGGCAGTAAAAATCCCATGTACCCACTTAGGTGGATTAGTTACAGTCAGTGCCACGAAACTCTAATCACATTTTGGAGGGTTGGAAAGCACAATAGTTGAACTAGTGAAGGGTTACAATAAGTTGTTGTGTGGGATGAGTTTATGGTTGGAGAGTCGTGTCAAGAAACTTGATGAGTTGTTAAGAGACATGGCCAATTGCATTAGTTATTTATTTATTATAAAAATAAGGATATAGGATCTTTCAATGCCATGTTCTACATGACTAGGTTTAACTCCACCAATATTATTATCCCAAATGTGTCACAAGTTGAGTTTGTTACAAAAATATTATCATGTTTTGATGTTCCAAAAAAAACCTGGATACTATAAATTATATACACACACATACATACATACATACATACATACATACATACATACATATAAGAATAACATTGCAATATTTTAGTTACATACAATGAAACAAAGAAATACCATAATTGTCCTGTCTAATTTATAGCTTCATTAATCCCATTTATTGATGACTTGATTATTAAATTTGTTAAGAATGTAAAATTGTAAAATTGAATATATATATATATATATATATATGTATATATATATATATATATATGTATAGACATATGTAAATACTAATATTACTTGAAATTGTTTCATTTGTAATTTATGTCAAATAGTATTTTTCATGTACAAATTCCTCTATATTATTCACTGGATTTGAACAATTAAAGATTAATATTAAATTTATAAAATATTTTATTTGAGAGACATCATCATGTAAAATAAAAACGGAAATCCTTGACTTCTAAGTTTTGAATTTATTCATCATGTATTTTTACAATAAATTTTACTTAATATTTGCAATGTGAGGATGAGTGTGCATTAAAGGGTAGTTGCAAAGAGTTTCAAATTTGTTACATATAATCAGTTATAATTATACGATGTTTTCACCCACATTGAGATCTATCTAAAGCAACGCTATTCATAAAAGCAAAAGCTACGCACCCCGGGTAGTTTACCGCACCTCCAAGCAGCACCCATGACCGACCGCCCTGAAGCCATGCGTGGTCAGAAAAAGCAACAATTCATAAAGCAAATTGGACCGGATCTCGAAAAGACAGGTGCATCCGACTCCGCGAAAAGGAAGCCCACGGGCACGGAATTCGGCGCCGTGTGAACAAGGTCTTTTTGGGGTTCCACAGGCACTTCCGCAGCTCTGGCGTGTCCTGCTCCTTGCGTCCAACAAAACCTGAAGAGCGAGAAGGTCGAAGTTCTTATGTCTTTGCTGGTCTTGGATGGAATCCGTGCTGGGGGCTGATCGAAAGTGTTGGTGAGGAGGAGGAGCGGCAGTAGGATTTTAACAACAGCCAGCACATTTTAGACTGCTGTGGACGGATCGCATCGTTGATCGCTCAGCGTGGTCGCGATGGCGGTACCGATGGCCGCCCTCAGTAGCGCTTGCGCTGCCTTCATGCTGCTCGTGTCGGTCTTGCCGGTTGTGCCGCTCGCATCTGGGTTCTACTTGCCTGGCGTGGCGCCCCTGGACCTTGCTCAGGTATGTGTGTTACTGCGGGATCCGTTGGTAAAGGGTGTGGAAGAGGTGGGAGGATTTTTTTTTTGGCGAAATGTTTTTAGAGGGTTTGGTTTTGCGGCGTTTTATGATATTTTTCGATTACTAATCCGGTATATGTATTATAGCACAGTATTTTTTTCGTTTTACTTTATGGCACGTTGCTAATGGCACGTTGGTTTTTTGTCTAAACCCCGATTCACTGTTTCTGCCTCTGTGATCGAAGATCCTATATGTGACTTCGAGCGGGTGAAGGCCGTAGTTTATTTGGTAGACCTCCTAGGTGTGGAAATCGATTTTATTAGTAGTTCTTTGTCATTTACAAAATATTTTATTTGACTTGCTTTGACCGATCGACTTGCTTTTCGATGAATAGATCGTGAAATCCCTGTAGGATACACGGCATTTTACTTCGATCGTATTTGAGATTCTTAGGCATTTCTTTTCACATGAAACCGATGAGCACTAGGAGAATCAGTGTCTGTTGTTTCTTGTCAATGATTGACGGCATTATCATTTAGGAGGAATTCTATAAGTTTCAGGTGCTTAGCTTTGAGGTAGGTGATGTGATTGACCAAGGATCATATCTTAACTGCAACGACACCAATAAATCAGAGGCGATAATATGTTTGTTACTAGCACTACAGATGCTGAATATCCCCACACCAGATTGTCGTCTCCCTTTCATACTTCCATGTTCTTTTACTCCATTTTTCGCAGAGACCTCTCACTACTCCGTTATTTTATTGTGTCATTGACTGTGTTTGAGCTCAGAGTTCACAATGAAAGTTTAATAAAGTATGTAGGTAGTCTTAGTTGTGAGATTATTTGTACTTCTATTGAGGATATAAATATCAACTTTTGGATGTGTATCCTCACAAGTCTTCTGACTGTAGTAGTTTCCTTGGAAGTCGGAAGAGTTGACTATATGAGGAGATCGGGCATGAATATTCCATTTAGATGAAAAATTTGCAAACGAAATTTGCAGACGGTTTTTGCGGGGCCGTATTAATGGTCGAACACCCCCGCCCCGCCTTGCCTCGCCCTGTCTTTCTAAATATTTTTTTCCTTGTTATATTATTGAGGAAGCACTTGACGCGTAGTCGAATCATGTGTAGCAAAAGTATACCACACTATCTTCATCTGGTGTTTGTGGCGGACAAACATTACTGTGCTTGAAAAGGAAGTACTGCCAAAACATGTTGCGATAGTGATAACAGTAATGATTTCGAGTGGCTTTGAAACAGGGTGATGATGTTCAAGTGAAGGTGAACAAATTAACATCCACGAAGACACAACTTCCATATGAATACTACTCTCTTGACTACTGCACGCCGAAGAAAATTGAAAACATGGCTGAGAACCTTGGTGAGGTTCTTCGAGGCGACCGCATTGAGAATTCTCCTTACATTGTGAGTGACAGCTTTTCCTTCATACTATGGTTGTAAATGGCATACCATTTTTAGGATGTTCCTGTCGAAGGACAGTTGAATTAGTTGGCCTGTCCGTTGCATACACTTCTGAGTGTAGTTGAAGATTGATGAAACACCTCTATGAGCTAATGAGGAAATTGCTGTGTCCATCACAGTTTCAAACGAAAATAGATAAACAATGCCAAATTGTTTGCAAAAAGAAGCTCAGTGAAAAGTCTGCCAAGCTCTTCAAAGAAAGGATTAAGTATGACTACCGTGTAAACATGTAAGTTTTATTGACTGTTTTTTCTGACGCCTCCTTGTAATTAATTTATAAATTTGATGCTTATTTGTGACTACACAGAATAAGTTTCTTTAGGGAAACACTTCAAGTGAATTTACGAGATGTTATATTTTCACTCTTTGACCAGTTTGCATTCATTGCCATCTTTTCATGCAGGATCCTTGATAACCTGCCAGTGGCGATGGTCCACTTTGTAAACCGAATTAAGACTTATGACCGAGGATTTCCTGTTGGTCAAAAGCTATCCTTGTCTGATTTGGTGAGTGTTCTGGATTCTCTTGGTAAAATGCAAATTTATTTCGCTCATTTTACATGTTAACTGAGTATATGTGAGTTGTGTTTACATTGACGTCTTTTTGCAGAAAAAGCATGACAAGAAAGACAAGAAGGACAAATATTTCATCTTTAACCACCTCAGCTTCGTAGTGTATTATCATCAAGATCCTGTTTCCACAGCTTCTCGAATTGTTGGCTTTGAAGTGGCTCCTCAGAGGTCTGTCATCTGATACATCCAAATGATCTCTAGCTGTTCGTTGAAAGATAGAGGCTCTGACATGCTCTTCTGACTCCTTATGAATGGTTCATTCTGATGTAATAGTCTTCTCGATTCAGGTGTAACACTTTTTGCCTTGCACTGAAGTAGTACACCTTCTAGACAGGTTAGGTGACTCGGAGGTCATATTTGTCAGGCAAAGTTACTATTTGGAAGTGTCTTAACTAGAATTTGTCAAATTTTGTTTGCTTGTTAATTAAGTTCAGTGGGTGGATGATGTAGTGTGAAACACGAGTATGAAGCTTGGGAAGGCGAGAAGACCAAGTTGAAGTCCTGCAACCCATCCGAAGCAGCGACTCGTCAACCTCCCCAGGAAGTTGTTGCTGACGGAGAGATAGTTTTCACTTACGATGTGAAATTTGTGGTTAGTACTTCCTGGTCCTATATGTACTCCTTGTGGCTTGGATTTCTCATCTGTTCTTGACTCTGCCTTCTATGTTTTCACGTGTATGTCTGCATTTGGTTAATCGAGTACCCGGTATGATATGCCGGGTCTGTCACCCTGAGAAGTACTATTCATGCTTATTTAGTGTTCATCATTCCTTTTTATTGCTGTACTAATGTAGCCTTCTTGTACGTGGAATTTTTTTCATTATGACTGCAATATGTATGCGTAATGTAGTAGTGATCTTTGATTTTATCTTTTCCCATGAAGGGATCGAGCTCACTTGATGTCAGCGAAGGTAATGTTCACGTTTTCATGTGCAGCTCAGTGAGGTGAAGTGGGCATCCCGGTGGGACACATATCTACTGACGCAAGATGACCAGATCCATTGGTTTTCAATCATCAATTCCTTGATGATTGTTCTCTTCCTTTCCGGCATGGTAGCCATGATCATGATGCGAACCCTCCACCGTGACATTTCAAACTACAATCAACTGGACACTCTAGAGGAAGCTCAAGAAGAAACTGGATGGAAATTAGTACACGGAGACGTTTTCAGACCACCAACCAACGCTGGATTATTATGTGCCTACGTGGGTACAGGAGTGCAGTTCCTGGGGATGACTGTTGTCACAATTATTTTCGCCCTCTTCGGCTTCCTGTCGCCAGCAAACAGGGGCGGGCTCATGACAGCTATGCTTCTTCTGTGGGTCTTCATGGGGTTATTCGCTGGTTACTCGTCTGCCCGTCTGTATAAGCAGTTCAAGGGCACCGACTGGAAGCTGAACACTCTGAAGACCGCTTTTATGTTTCCGGGGGCTGTTTTTGTGGTATTTTTCATCTTGAACGCACTTATCTGGGGCCAGAAATCTTCCGGAGCTGTCCCCTTCACGACGATGACTGCGCTTGTCCTCCTGTGGTTTGGAATCTCCGTGCCGTTGGTCTTCGTTGGGAGTTACTTCGGATTCAAGAAACCTGCTGTCGATGACCCTGTAAAAACCAACAAGATCCCGAGACAAGTGCCGGAGCCGGCTTGGTACATGCAACCCGTGTTTTCAATTTTGATCGGAGGAATTCTTCCCTTTGGAGCCGTCTTCATTGAGCTCTTCTTCATCTTGACGTCAATCTGGTTGAACCAGTTCTATTACATCTTTGGCTTCCTCTTCCTGGTTTTCCTGATCCTCATGGTGACGTGCGCTGAGATTACCATCGTGCTCTGCTACTTCCAGTTGTGCAGCGAAGATTACAACTGGTGGTGGAGGGCGTATTTGACTGCTGGCTCATCCGCTCTGTATCTCTTTCTTTACGCTGCCTTTTATTTTTTCACTAAGCTTGACATTACCAAGGTTGTGTCGGGGATATTATACTTCGGCTACATGCTCATCATCTCGTATTCCTTCTTCGTACTCACTGGAACTATGGGCTTTTACGCGTGCTATTGGTTTGTGCGCATGATCTACGCTGCAGTGAAGATCGATTAAACCGGAGCGCTAGGACAGAGTCTGAATTAATATCTTGGGCTACAAAGATTGTTTTGAGGATGCGGACGTGGGCCAATGCTGATAGTTCAATTTATTGTAGGGCGATTCAACCGTATGTGACCTAATAGGTTCCTTACTACAACTGAGAGAATGGGTTGGACATGTGTGCAGTAGCTAGTCATTGCTCTGAAGACACCTGGTACTAGCCCATCCAGGATGCTGCAATTTTTTCTCAGGGCGTTTTGGCCTTAGGGAACTTCTGTCTTTCATATACTGGCAGAGCGTGTCACCCCGAGTGTGAAGTAAAAAAGTACATTTCTGAAGCCACGCTGGTCTTGATCTCTGCAAGTTTTGTAGTCTAGTCTTCAGCCAACTCTGCCCTTTGGCCAGCTTGAAGCCGTGGGCTGTAGCTTTTCCTGCAACTTGTTATCGATTAATCACTAATTTCCTTTGAAGCTTGATTCTCCTGAAACCTCCACAAGCGAAGTGCTTGCTGTCCGTTGATCTATAAAAAATGATGCTGAATTCCTAATGCTCCAAGGGGGCTTTTCCTGATTACTAGATTTGTCATGAGTGCAATATTAAAGATAGATACAGTGTTGGGTCAGAACTAAGGTTGTAAGTAAGTATAAATTTAGAGTTATAAAATTCTTAGTACTATAGATTACTATTCCCAAGGTCTTAAACTAAGGAGAGTGTCGTGTCTAAAACAAATCATGAACGTTATGTGATTCAGTTGCTTCATCTACGTTAATCATCCACGATTATGAGGTGGACGACAGAGCATACAATTCTGAACATACTTCACATTTCAATTGCTCAGCTTTCTGGAAGGTTTATTGGGTAAAGGATTAATTCATTTTAGTTACAGTGATTGTATTCTTCATTTTGTGCCTGTTGCTGGTATCTTCTGTGGAGCTTTTCGATACCAGAGCTTCAGTCGCTGGAAGGACAATGACTAGCAAGGTCTCAACTGCAATACCCGGTCAGTGAATGCTGACAAGCTGCTTGACAGGATTGTTAATACAGCCAGAAAATAGTAATACCGTTCTTGCGCACTGCAAGTTGGGTTTCCGAAGACGACCAGACTCGCTGCAGAGTTTTGATATTTAATCCCGAATGTTCCAAATGGGCTTGGAAAGCAAGACAGAATGGAGTAAAGGCTAATCGTCTCGTGTTTCATGCAACTTGGGTACTGTGTGGGTGATTGCCTTATTTCCTGTTTAGGTGGGGTAATTATGATGTAACCTATGGATTTTTAGTCCATCTTCCTCATTCTACTGTTCCCTGTTTTGAGTTGATATAGAGCCCTTCGAAACAATGTTGTTGCCCAGAGTAGAAACTACACTTTGATCCTTATTGATGTTGCGGAGAGATACAGGATTGTTCAGCTGGGAAAATTTGATGTATAGAACGCATCATAGAATAGAATCACCATGTCTGTCCATTATGTCAATATATTATCACCAATCCAGAAGAGAATTATGCAAGATTTCGAAGCTATCGAATGTTGAGGACCGCAGTGAATAAGAAGCTTCAAGGTGGTAAAGACCATACGATTAGGGTGGGAATAAAAGCAGATTAAGTCGATAGGAAGAACAAAAGCCCAGCCGCATTCGTTTGTTTTTGTGATGTCACCTCCTTCCCAGTTGCATTTCTCTCCCTGGACAGCGTCGTCTTTGATGTAGGTTGTGTGAGTTTTATACAAAACAAGAGTTGGATTTATTCACACGAATTGAATATATACATCATTGACTAGAGTTGTTGGAAAACTTGCTCTACTTTATACAGATGATATATGTCCCATAACTAAACTTCTAAATTGGATGACGCTATTCTATACTTAGCCAAAATTTAAAATCTGGTGGATATCAACTTTGTCCTTGTATCAGCTTGGTATCAACCTAGTATCAAAATAGAAACCCTAGACACCATTTTATCTAACACTCTCTTTCATCTAGTTTATTTTTATTTTTATTTTTTATTTTTACAATTTTAATTTTGTGTCTGCATCTTTCATGATGTCAAGGTTCAACATTGCTACATTGAAGAATCAAGTTGATCTCCTTGCAACTGTGAATTGTTGCTAATTTTTTATTGCTTTGATCTTTACTTCATGGCTTTACTTTTATTAAACTTATATAAACACTCACTTTGTTGCAATAGGAAATAGAGTTGTTAAGATTTTGGTTGTTGGTTATAGCTCTATAAAGAAGATGTGATTTTGTACTTAGATACTTCCACCAATTATATTAAGAGTCTTTTAGTAGGTTTGATGGAGCAACATTTGGGGATGAACAAGAAAAATTTGTCAACATCCTTTCTTAAGATAACAGCTCAGTAAAAGAAGTTTTATTTGAAAACCTATCTCATCATAGTATAAGCATTTAATTTTTAAGATTTTTGTAGGTACATGCATTATAGGATTTGCCACTAATTTGGTGCATCTTTGATTGTTGTTTATTATTAGAGTAGCATCATTGATGCAAATATGTAGATTATGAAATAATCTTTAAAGTCATGTAATGTCTTTTATGGCTTCTAATAATACTCAATATTCAGCTTCACTAGTGGATAGTGCTATTGTAATTTATAGTTTTGAGCTTTAATTAAGTTAAAAATTTTCAATCATGTACAAATGCTCACATGTAGATCTATGTGAATTTGCATACTCTCCCTAATTTGCATTATTGTAAGCAATTAATTTTCTATATTTTTTTGTTAGATAAAGAATTCCAAGTCTTGTTGTATTCTTTAGATAATATAAAATAAGCATTCTTGTTTTGTAGCAAGGCATTTATAGAGCTATACAATATTTACTTATATAACTTATATTAAAACTAATGCCTAGTCTTCTTATGTTTGATAGATATAACAAGCTTCTAACAAGTCTAGAATACTCTCTAACGTCTACTAATTCTTCATCTATATCAGCTTGGAATTTTGTAGCTTTGTTCATTAACGTTAGGCTTGAATTACAATTCAATATATTAAATCTGTCAAATATAACTTAGATATAGTTTCTCTAATAGAAGGTTATATTATTTTTGGTATGCATAAACTCCATCCTAAGATATTCTTGTATTAGCTCCATATTATTTATCTCAAATTTATTTATTTATTTATTTATTTATTGTAATTCTAAAGGTTTCTTTTTTATCATCTCTTATTATAATTAAATCATCGATATGGTAGGATGAGTGTATAATTTCTATTATTGTATCAAATATAAAGAGTAGAATTTGTTGACAATTAGTACATTTCTATCTTTTGTAAGTATTCATCAAGTCTCTCATACCAAGTTGGAAGAGATTGCCAAAGATTATATAATGCATGTTTTAGCTTATATATCTTAATATTGCTTTTATATTCAAATCTAGGTGGAATAACAAAGAAAACTTCTTCTTATAATATTTCATTAAAAATATTATTTTTACATCATATTGTTTTATTTTTCATTGTCAAATAGCTACTAATGCCATTATTATTCTTATTGTCTTCTAATAGATGATAAGAGCTAAAGTTTCAAAGAAATCTTCTCTTCTTTATTGCTCAAATCCTCGTGCTACTATTCAAGCCTTGTATTTTCAATGTTATTTGATACTTAAGTCTTCTTCTTGAAAATCCATTTAGTAGTGATGGATCTTTTTTCAACTAGTAACTCATAAATCTTCTATGAGTGATTTTTCTTGATGCTTTGAACTTCTTGACAAATAGCTTCTTTTCATTGTTTATACTTCAAAGTAGTCAATAGGATCCATTATAGCTTAGATATTAAGTAGCCAATTATTACAAAGTCTTGTTGATAATTGTTTACACTTATTCATTTTCTTTTGTATGAAGAGTTGATATGCTTAAATTGATAAATTAAAAGATGTTGGTGATGATGTTTTTGGAGATTGCATCATGTATATGTTTGGCAAGTATTCAACAAAATAGAGTTGCTCAATTAATTCATTTTTAGTTTGATGTTTGAAAGATACATCTTTGGATTTAATATACTGGTTCTTATATTTATTCATATTCATCATCATTGCAAATTGATGCTATAAGCTCTCTTGAAATTCTTGTTAGAATAGAAAATATATCTTTAAAATTCTCATTATTACTATTATTTTTAAGATGTTGATAGGTCACTCTTATCTTGTCAAAAATAATATCTTTTCTTATATATATATATATATATATATCCATATATCTAATAAGCCTTCTTGGAGTTATATCCAATAAAGATACATTTTATTTTCTTATTGTTAAGTTTTATTTGTTACTTCTTTAGTATATGCAAATAAGCAATGCATCAAAATATCCTTAAATGCTTTGCTTTTGATTTCTTTTTGGAAAATAATTCCATTGATATTTTTCTATCATGAACATTGATTAGACATAAATTTACTAAGTAGTTTGGAATATTGATTGCTTCTAACCATGGACTTAAACGTATTTAGTTTTTTTTAGAGATTGCTTTGAGATTGGTTTGAAAAATGATTAGTAGTTGTAACACTATATATTAGATATCAAAAGGAGATAATCAATTGAATTTTTTTTGTATAAGGATTTTAGTAAGAACTATCTCATCAAATGTAGCCAATTGATTTTTGATTTTGTGAGCTATTCTAAAAAATTCTTCTATGAAGGTGATGTTTTAAAACTTTAATGTTGATAGTTTATCATTAAAATTTAGAACCATACCAAAGTCTCTACTTTTGTACTTATTCTTTAGTATTTTTCATGCATCTATTGTATCATTATATTCAATCACCAAGTCTAGTATGTAGTTGTTTATAACAAAAGTTAGAATCTTTGTAAGTCATCAAATTGACTCACTTATTGTTTTAGGATAAAAATATGCAATTTGAATGCTTTAAATTACAATATATAGTGATTAGTATAGAAATCCTTAGAGAAATAGAGAATTAGAATGTTAGTGGTAGAAATGGAGTCTTAGTAAGTCTTGGAGGCAATTATCTTTGTTGATTTAGTATTTTTATTTATTATTAAAGATTAAAGATTATTTATTAAGACCAATATTTATATTGTTTTTCTATCTATATGTACTTATAAAACTATAAATTTTAGTAATTAGAAGAAGTATGAAAAAGAACCTCATGTTATTTTAGTTATTGACATAAAAGATAGGAATTATAGTGGATTTAAATTAATTTTTATTATTATAAAAAAATCATTAAGATAATAAAATATATCCTTAAATAGACATTATCATTATAAAAATATTATAGAATTTTTTAAAATTTATTAAGAATTTATTTAGTATTTTTTAGGAATTTTTAGAGTAATTTTTAAGATCTTAGTAAAAATAAATTTTATTACTTTGGGAGCCTTTATGAAGAAATGGAATAAGATTTGAAGGCCATACAAGATTCCTAGGCTAATTGGATATTTTTAAACACCATAGTAATGCCAAAAATATAAAATGTTGGTCCTTCTAATAGAAAATAGGAAGACAAGCAG